GAATAAGGACAGTAGTTTGAAGGGTTCATGTTCTTGAGGCCATCAATTGAGTATGTTCTTCATAGTTGTCAAATAAGAATCATTTGAAGCCAAAACTTGGAAGGTAAGAGTTGGGCATTTTCTTGGATTTACCTGTCAATTGACCACGTCGAAGAGGTTTTTGGACATAGGAGTTCTACATTTTGGTGGCATTAACGGCAAATAAGTGGAACTACTGTATTATGAACTATGGTCCTGTGTTGTGAGTTGGATATAAATTGGAATTTTGAACTGATGTTTGAAGTAGAGAGACTCTTATTTGCCAGCAATTCTTGATGCGTTTATGTAGGTGCCAGTTAGAGTAGCAAAGGAAACTGATCTGCGTCTACTGTGCAACGGCTAAGATTTGAATTTGGTAATTATGGTGTTATTGTGGAGGATGATACCTTTATACAAAGTTTCCAGCATACTTATATAAGAAGCCACGGTGGACTTGAAGGGGGTGAATGGGTAGATTTTTTTGTCACTGTGCAATGTTGGCCATTCTACCCCCTTTTAAGGTGGTTTTGAAATCTTTGGCTCTTTAAAAGTATCTTATATTAGTTTTCATTTTGAAACCACATTTTTATCCACGGTTGCATCTTCTTAAGATGGAGTAATAAATATACATTACTATCACAAGGAAGACACCGTTAGCTTATTCAATGTGTTAAAACTCAAACACATGCTTTTATAAAAATTATCAGGCATGGAACTTTTCGGTTTTGTAATTTATTGACTGTGTCCCTGGGAATAATAATACGGGTACCTTGTAACTGAGTATGATGTCTGGATGGCTGTCCAAGTGGATTTCATTAGATTGTTTGCTTGACAAACTTGTGAGAAGGACTGTTTTGAGGAAAAGCCATACCAGCAGCTTGTAGCTTTTTCTACAGCTAGAGAGACATAAACGTGGCTCTAATTGTTGGCTCTGTAAGTTGACTAAACTTTTGTATAATGGAGCTTCCTCGATTCTGCATCCAATCTTGTATAAGAACCACATGATTTTGTCTGTTTAATTTCATACCAACTCCTCTGCCATTGTTAGATACCACTGGGACTTCAAATGCCATTTACCTAGAAGAATACCTTTAACAATATTTATGGTTGTGCAAATATCCGTAGGTTTCTACTCTTTGAACCATGCATTCTGTTGTCATTTCTAGTTGGAGAGCCACTTATCCAATTTGAGGAAGAAACAACCTTTTTCTATTTTGTTTATGGCAGTCGCCCCTTTTTTGTGGGCTTGGAGAATATGACGCCTTCCATTTTTTATTTCTTCTCAGCCCGCTTTGACCCTAAAAACATAAAATTTGAAGAAACTTAAGGAGTCCAACTATCTTGAGCAGCATTGATTTATAAAAATAGCATAGTCATATGACTTGACCATACATAATCTCTGCATCTACTTTCCAATAATTTGATTGTATGTGGGAACAATTAGAGGTCACTTTATTTACCATCATTGTCTATTAATGTATCCCGCCAATGAGATCACATGGTCAATTAAACAAACCTGCACACATGCATAGGGTTTGTAGGTGACTCCTTAAAATTATTCAATCAGCTTTTCCTTGTTTATAATGACTGTTGAACAGAGTACAATGTCTAGTTTTAGAATATTAGCTTTCCTTTGTAGTGTATGCACTAGTAGCCTTTGATATCCGTTGAGTGCAACTTTGTGTTGTCAGTAAGTCATTGACTATTGATTTCTAATTATTAAGAATTTTGCAAATGGTGCAGGTGTGTCAAAGTGATTGAATTACTGCAATCATGCTGTGAGCAATGCAAATATAAGTCAACTCATTGTGCTTCTGTGTCTGGTCTTCTAAAGCAGATTAACAAGTAGGAGCCTGACTGGAGGGAAGACAGCTACATATACGGTTTCGCCATTCTGGTCTTGAAGAGAACTAGTTTAGCATGACACTTGCTTTCTGCTAGTTATTAGAATCTAACCATTCAGTGTCTTAAAGCAATAGTGGCGATTACAGGATACATGTTTGCTGACAAAATGTAATAGAAGATACTTTTTTTTGATCATGTAATGGAAGATACTTGAAGATGTCGATGTGGGGGGGGTAGAGATTTGGGTGTATTTTGTTGAAGTTTTATGTGATTGAATAAGTACGAAAAGGAGGAATATGATACCTTATAGGATTAGGTTGCTTATTGCACATTAGAGTTGCTTGAAGCGGTGTAACTAATTCTAATTTTGATATGAAAGTGTAGGATGGGAGTAGTATAAATATCCAGAATCTCTCCCTCTCTCTATNGGTTGCTTATTGCACATTAGAGTTGCTTGAAGCGGTGTAACTAATTCTAATTTTGATGTGAAAGTGTAGGATGGGAGTAGTATAAATATCCAGAATCTCTCCCTCTCTCTATTTTTTTTTTTTTTAAGGATTTTCTTAATATGATTTAAAAGCTTTCACACCATCTTCTTTTAGGGTCCAACTCTTGTTTAGATACCATTCATCTACTTTTCCTACAATAAAAATTGACAAGTATAAAGTTTTTTTTATTTTTTTACTTTATCAACAAATCACCCAAATCAAAATGAAGGGATGTAGATAACTGATCACAGTTTGCTGTCTACCAGAATTGTCTTGCTGCTTTGGTTGTCAAATGTCACACAACCAAACATCTATCATTTTTCGATACAAATTTATATATAATACGGCCCATAACATAAATAGTAAATGAATTGAGTTAGCGTCAAATACGAGCAATACGAAATTAACATAATTAACATATTTAAGTAGTATTACAAAAATAAAATATTAATTTTTTATTATATTTTATCAAATAGTGATCCAATTCTTGAAAAAAAATTTACTCATTTTTATTATTATATTTGTTAACTTAATTTTTACTTTATAGAAAACGTATGATCATAAGTATGATTAAGTGATAATATAATTTTAGACATAAAATTGAGCGTTAAATTTTTTATTCAAGGATTATATGGGACAACGTGAACAAGACATATAAATAAATAGGTCGACATGATACGACATAATTAATTAATCAAATTAAGATTAATTAGTGCTCAATGCAACCCTAAAATAAAACGACAAGATTTTGATATTTTTGTGGTTAGCAGATCACCATGGGTTAGAGGAAGGTGTTGCAAGAAGGCAAAGAGCCTGTCAATAGCATATTGTCTTTGCCAAAACAAAAGGTATGTGTTGAGGGAAAATAGCACTATGTGTTGTTAGCCAAGAAACGACGCCGTTTTATTAAGTTTACACAGTAAAATTTTTTCCATAAAACAGACCGACCAAATGACACCTTTTCAATGGGTTTGCACAGTAAAGTTTCTTCCCCAAAGCAGACTTCCAGNTTATAGAAAACGTATGATCATAAGTATGATTAAGTGATAATATAATTTTAGACATAAAATTGAGCGTTAAATTTTTTATTCAAGGATTATATGGGACGACGTGAACAAGACATATAAATAAATAGGTCGACATGATACGACATAATTAATTAAACAAATTAAGATTAATTAGTGCTCAATGCAACCCTAAAATAAAACGACAAGATTTTGACATTTTTGTGGTTAGCAGATCACCATGGGTTAGAGGAAGGTGTTGCAAGAAGGCAAAGAGCCTGTCAATAGCATATTGTCTTTGCCAAAACAAAAGGTATGTGTTGAGGTAAAATAGCACTATGTGTTGTTAGCCAAGAAACGACGCCGCTTTATTAAGTTTACACAGTAAATTTTTTTTCATAAAACAGACCGACCAAATGACACCTTTTTAATGGGTTTGCACAGTAAAGTTTCTTCCCCAAAGCAGACTTCCAAACATTACACAATAAAACAATTTACTTCTTTCTACCATGCAACTTCTATCCGTTGCTCACTTGCACTCAGTTTCTCACCTTCCTTGAGTGGCATCCCTTGCAGAACCACTAGTCTGCACAGAAGCATCTTCACTATTTCCAAGCAGCTAAGGTCTACTCTTCTTGGTAGCAACAGGTATGGATTTTCATAGAAATCGAGCACGGGCATTCATNTCACCATGGGTTAGAGGAAGGTGTTGCAAGAAGGCAAAGAGCCTGTCAATAGCATATTGTCTTTGCCAAAACAAAAGGTATGTGTTGAGGTAAAATAGCACTATGTGTTGTTAGCCAAGAAACGACGCCGCTTTATTAAGTTTACACAGTAAATTTTTTTTCATAAAACAGACCGACCAAATGACACCTTTTTAATGGGTTTGCACAGTAAAGTTTCTTCCCCAAAGCAGACTTCCAGACATTACACAATAAAACAATTTACTTCTTTCTACCATGCAACTTCTATCCGTTGCTCACTTGCACTCAGTTTCTCACCTTCCTTGAGTGGCATCCCTTGCAGAACCACTAGTCTGCACAGAAGCATCTTCACTATTTCCAAGCAGCCAAGGTCTACTCTTCTTGGTAGCAACAGGTATGGATTTTCATAGAAATCGAGCACGGGCATTCATTTTGAAACGCAATGTCTTGAATTGCAATTCATTTTGAGAATTATTTTCCATCCCTCATCCAAACTCTTTGCCCGACATTGAATCAATTGTTAGAAACACCATAACTCACAAAAATGTCAGCAATGACTGGCTCCACTTCTTGAATCGTAATCCACCGAGAGAATTGCCTTCTCTAGGTGATACTCGAATCAACTTTGATAGGCAGAATAAAACTGTGTATGTCGCTATCGGAGTGCCAAATCAAGAAAAACATCCATGCAATTTTGATATGAGTCTTGCCGATGCCCAAGTCGATGTCCACAAAGTCTTNGATAGGCAGAATAAAACTGTGTATGTCGCTATCGGAGTGCCAAATCAAGAAAAACATCCATGCAATTTTGATATGAGTCTTGCCGATGCCCAAGTCGATGTCCAGAAGTTCACAGAGAGAGTTGAGTCATACTCCTTAGATGGACCCATTTGATGATTTTCCTAGAAATTGTCACAGTTGAGAGCTGCCATTAACGGAGCTCATTCATAGGCAACAACAACAGGTGGTGCGTTGAGGATGAAGAAGCTGGTCTCGTCTTTGTCATTGCTACTTCTTCTGAATCTCCTGCTCTTGTACTCACGAACAGAGTAGAACCCAGAAGTTTTCGAAAGAGTGTAGTGTGTGGGTAGGGGACAGTTTCGCTTTGTGAACAGTGAAGAATGCGAATCATGGAACCATAATTTGGAGCTGTAATTAGGAGAGACCGAGTGTGTTTGTGAGAGAGAGATAGAAAGAGAGACTGAGAGTGTGTTAGTTTTGTGAAGAGAGAGAATTTCACAGATGGTGGCGTTTCAAACTAACAGCAAACTATGCTGTTCTTATGTAACAGCAGAGGAGCCGTGCCCTTGTGTTATGGCTGTCAAAGAGTGAAAACTTCCCCTTAATGGGAAGGCAGACCTAGAATTGATCCTGTTTTGGATACAAAAGACAAGTCAGCCGGCGGACGAGAGTAGAGAAAGTTTTTTATAAACTTCGGATAACCTATAATCACCCGCAAACCACTAGCATAAGATAGATAAACTTAAAGAGACACCTTAGAGTTAAACTTAAGACATCAAAGTATATAATTTGTCTTAGAGTTAACTTTACGCCGATGAGAAAATTACCCAAATGGTATTTACTGAATTAATCCAAACTAAAAATTGATATCCAGAGTTTGTTGCAAAGTTCCTAGCAAAATGATGAAACCATACATTTGTATTAACCAACATGCTCAAAAGTTACATTGAAATTGTCCTTGAATGAAGAGGAGAACGATCTAAACTAGAATCCACCTTTTTCCTCAAAAAAAGAGAAGAAAAATACTTACTTTGCCACTGTATCCAAAAACAATATGATGGAGAGAGATTTCAATGCTGGATAAAATACAATTTGGCATTAGTGTGGTCCCTTCTTAAAGAAGGCATGTGAAGGATCGAAGAACAAAAAATCACATTACGACAATCTCAAAGAATCCGTCCGCTTAAGAGGAATGCCTTCTTGACCAAAACCATCTTCCTCGTCCATCTGCTTGAGAAGTCGCATGGATGGAGACATGGAACCTGGATGCATTGATGGTATTCATTGTCATTTACAAGGTGAAGAATCAAGAAATGTTGGAAATGCAGTGGCACCACATCTACAAACTAATTTTTTCATATTTTTATTCACGTAAACCATCAAAACTGGGAACTATGTCAAAGTGCATGGTTTTAACTACCATTTATGAGTGGCACTGAGTGGCCATGCCCTTGGTTCCAGTGTGACTAACCCAGTCTCACATTAACATCAAAAGGGATGCAAAGAAAACGTATAGAAGCATACCATCAGCCATGTCTTTTGTTTTGTGAAGAAGGAAGGTTCCAGAAAGGATTGTCACAAACCCACACATTTCTGTGACAATCTGGGTTGGATTCTGCCTATCCCAGTCCTGTTTACAATTATCAAGCTTTAACGATATTGTTTGAGCGAACATAGGAGTTCAAATAAGAAGATTGATGTAACTTTTTCCCCACTTAGAGACTACAATAACAAATGAGCTCTTACCATTTTAGCTATTATGTCCAAATAAAATAGATACACTTCATGCATTAGAGATAAATAGAATGCTTTAGCCATTTCATTCTATGTTTCAAAAACTGGCCATGTTGTAAATTACCATTACCTCAATTTCTAACCTCCATTTGCTGTTAAAGATTAATAAAAAACAGCTCTTTCGTGATATTATTACCACCAAAAATCACCAATGATTTCTTTCTTTCTAATCCTTTGGAATAGCATGAAACCCGTTTCCCCCATCCAGCTCATAATGAGATTGAATCCTGTCACATGCTTCTCGGTACTATAGTCCCACCTCCACTAAGCAGTCTTATCCTTTTTCTTTCCAATTTCAGAGCCACAAATTTAACAATTTCATTATGTACTTCAGCCTAGGGATTCAGACTCTTATGTGCAAACATCTTCAAATTACTATATTTTCAGTCAGGACAAATTTAAACTTCTAGAAAAAATAAGGAACAAAGGGAGGCAAAAAAAATTCATACAGACAACAACCAAAGTCAAGGCAAGGCATTGTTTAATTGATTATTGCAGAAGCAGAGGGGGAATTTATGGAATAATAAAAATGTAAGGAGCAAAATTCATGTGTCCAATATAGCAAAATAAGAAGGCATCTAATCACAGTCACAGCATAATATGATTCTCAAATCAAATATAATCAAACAAGAAAGGTATTCAAATGCTGCTGATCTGTAAAAGAATTACCTTAAACATGATCACACTAGCCAAGATTGTCAAAGATGTAAACATAACATAGTATATGGGAGATACAACAGCTGTGTTGAATGTGTCAAGGGCCTGCATTCAAGATTTCACAAAGAAGAAGAGCAGAAAGAGACCAAAGAACAAAATTAGAGAACAGAAGAATAATGGCCACATCATAAGTATAAATGAAATAATAAACACCAAAATGTATAGAATGGGGGTGAAAAAAGGAAAGTGAGAAAACCAGCCTAGCCAGACTTAAAGTTTGAATCACCATAAAATCTTGAAGATTGAGTAAACTAATTACAAGAAACAAATATTGCAGTGACAGTCCACTTCAAAAGAAATCAAACTGTCCAAAGTCTACACATCCTTCTGTCATCTTCTAAGCTACTTTTCACATAGTATCATGGGCATGGCCACCACAATTCCTTTAAGCTCAAACATTCTTTGTTCATATTTTAAGCTATTTTAACAATANTTCACATAGTATCATGGGCATGGCCACCACAATTCCTTTAAGCTCAAACATTCTTTGGTCATCTTTTAAGCTATTTTAACAATGNAAAGTCTACACATCCTTCTGTCATCTTCTAAGCTACTTTTCACATAGTATCATGGGCATGGCCACCACAATTCCTTTAAGCTCAAACATTCTTTGTTCATATTTTAAGCTATTTTAACAATGTACCATAATACCTGGTAATCATGCGAAACTCATTTGCTATTTTACCTGGTGGTTATCAAATTAAGTCCTGGAAATGAAGGTGTACACTACAGTGGAAAAAAGAATAAATGATAGAGAAAGAATAATCACATGGCTGTAGTCCCCCACAAATAGAAGCAAAATAGGGAGCTTCATTTACTAAGTGAATGAATATGAAAAGGTAATTTCATGAACAATGCCCTTGACAGGAGTGTAGACACTCCCCAAATTCAGAACAGCAGCTTCTGTTACCAATAATCCCGAAAGCTAAAGGCATAAACACTAACCTTTCATTCCGTCAAATGCCTAAATTTAGTGAATTGCGGCATGTACAAAAAGTTTCACTTTGTTCCTTACTGTCTAACCTCCATCTTCTTCCTTCTCTAAGAGAGATGTCTGACTTTCCTAAAGTAAGGACTGGCCTCCTTAACCAACTAGAAATATTATGGGATAACATGACAGGAGGACCGATCTCTGATTGACATAAAAACAAGAAAATTCAGGATCCCTTTTTCATTTTGCCTTTTTCAAAAAGATCGTGTCCATTCCACAGAACCATATGAGACTAGGCCTCAACGCTTTCAAACATATAGTTCTCATAACTACAGATAAAATACCTAATTCCAAGTGCCTCCTAATCATCCTGGGATTGGTTTTCCAAGGACATCGAGCATGCAACATTTAACGAGACTTTACACAAGTGCTCAACAACATAGAATTGATAATCAAACATGCACAGTTTGGAATCGAGAAATAAAATAGAGTACTGTTTCATACCAAAGATCTAGAGCGCTCCTATATAATTAATACACCCACTTAAGAAGCCAAAAGTGCTTTTACAGCACCCACAGAAATTACACAGCATAACACAAAAGGCAAGTACAACATGTTTCTTAAGCAAAGGTCAGGAAGGCCGAGTCGTCTACAGCACCAGACTCAAGTTCTAATCCTCATGAGACAGTATGGGTTCAAATCCCACTTCTGACATTGAATCCGGAAAAAAAATGCTGCTCGAGTAGATAATAACAGAATACTTCAGACAAAATATAAAGAAAAAGGCGAAAACAAAAAAAAAGAAGCATCTTTACCTTGTTTAAATAATTCATTTGGGTAACTACACAAGTAATAACCACCATGGCAAAGGCCCATGTTTGGGGATATATTAGCTGGTTCATTCCCGACAATGTTAGCTTCAAAGCAATTCCAAGTGCTTTGACACTCATGACCTGTCAGAGCATACCCACAAGAATGAAATACTATTTCTTGAAATAACACCTATTGAAAACAAAATAAAAGAAACAAAATACTACTAAAATACCATTACATACCGACAAAGAACCAACCAGCGAGCAAACTCCAATGTAACACATTATATGTGTCTGGCCGTATTGTGGGATATAGTTGAATATAAGTATGAAGACAGTTGTTATCACAACTGCTGCATAAAATAGAAAAGCTGCAGAAAAGATGTGAATGACCATTATGCTCAGTTGGCCATGCGAAAAAAGGCAAGAAACATGATATCAAACAGGTAGAAAGAAAACTGCATGTGTGGATTACAAAACAGTCAGTGTTAGAAGCAAACAATATTACCTGGCTCAGTAGCAAGATCCCACACTTCTGTCACAGATTCAATTTCACGTTCTTGAGGGGCATGTAGAACAATGGTGGTGGAACCCACAACACAAAGTGCACAGCCAAGAATTCCAAAGATATGTAGCCTCTCTCGTAAAATGATATGCGCAAGTACAGCACTGAAATTCAACATTGTGATTAGCAGTCAACACCAGATAATTAAATTTAAATATTGCATCTGAACTTGTAGCATGCCTGATAATAATGCTGAGTGCTCCAAGAGGAGTGACCAGAATAGCTGGTGCAAATGCATAAGCTGCAAAATTAGCAATCTCCCCAACAATCACTGTTGCAATAGCAACCACCGTTAGAAGTCACAATTCCCAGTGAGAATCATAAGCAACTGATGTAGAAGGACATGAGCAAATCAGAATACTTGTAACAAAAAATTTCATGACTGAAAGAGGATAATAATAAGGGGAAAAAAAACATCTTTGGGAGAAAACTAACTCAAATAATCATCAATAACGATCCACATGGATCATGGATGGATCCTTGGCAACTCCCAATTCTTAAGATCCACAAGTTTGAAACTTCTTGTCATGGGCAAGTTAGCATCCTTTTCCTCTTATTCATGATCAAGGTGAAGAATAATCTTTTTTCCGATAAGAGATCGAGGGGAAGAATATAAACAGAAGTCCCACAATATTTTGTGCCTCAGAGAAGGAAGATAATCCTAGAAGCGGAACTTACAAAAGTTATCAATGATCCGATTGTCTGCCAGCACAAGACACTAGGAAAAGCTAGTGTTATTTTTCTTCATGGTCTCCATATGCATATCTAGACTTTCTGGGAGCAACCATCTATTCACTAGAAAGTCACAATTTGCTAGTGTATCTCATTCAGAGTTTAATAAGAATCCGAATTTAAGTATTTTATTTTGCCCTATAAGAAAAGGAGTCAAAAGTAATGAAGTAGCAATGATAAAAATGGTGAAAGAAGACAAGGCAATCCTTATGGGCCAAAACAAAATCCAACCCAACTCTGCTAAAGAAACCAATCCCAAGGACACGATTTTCTCCACAAATTCTCGAATCCAAATGTCAATGAAATATATATTTGATGCTGCCACTTCAAAATGTCCACTTCTTTGTTAGATCCCCAAAGAGCACAACTGATTTGAGGAATGTCGATGAAGAAGCAGGAGCAAGAAAATCAACAATATCTACTTGTCCTAATTTGCACCTAGTTTGATCCTGTTTGACTTCAAACCATGTGGCTGGCTCATGCACTTGGTTTGCTCCCGTTGTCCTTTATCAGGGTCATTTGGATGGAAGTAACCCTGATCTGGCTTTAAGGAAAGCACTCCTCTCTTAGCCGAGAGATCTGCCAATCATTGGTGGATCTAGGGATCCATCCGACCTCAGCTTCTGAAGCCATGAGCATGTCATAAATCTCTATCTCAGAGTCACAATATTGGCAAAAACACACCCAAACATATATTGTGCAACATACAACCACCTCCATAAGACAACACCAAAGACGAAAGAAAGATGCTTCCATGAGAACTTCCAAAAGGCAGTAAAAATTCTCTGATGAGCTGGCAGTCTAAATCAAATAAGTATATTATTACCTGTAGCACCTATCATATACCTTCTATGCCAATCTGGAGAGGATCTCCGAGAGGGGGCTCAAGGAAATTGAATTCGCCTCTCCACATCTCACATGCATATCTCATTCTTGCAAACATATTTATTACAATTAAGGTGCATGTCTTAAAATGTCCAGATTATGCGCAAGATGTTTAACGTATGATAGTAATAATAACAACAGCAGCAACGGTGGTGGCTTCACGAAACATGGCCATATCACATTTTGCCAATAGTAAGCACAAATAAATTTAGAAAAAAAATAAGATCTCCACAAGTCAACTCTCAACGTTAAGCACTTCTTTCTTTGTGTGTGTGTGTGTGTGTTTTGAAGGGAGGGGGGGGGATGGTTGAGGAAAGGGGGGGAGGAGATTCCAATCCTTTTTGAAGCATAAACATGCAGCTGAACTGTGTTCAGAAATTCTCCCAGATGATGTAATCTCTATTATCACTAAACAAGCAGAAATGTATAAACTCACTTGTTATCATGCCCGCCCACCACAGCGGCTCATATAAGTATGAATATCCTCCAACTCCTGGAAAAATAATTCCACAGAAGTAATCAGGGAACAATAATGACAATAGAGACAAAAAATGTGGCACTATACCATTAAAGAAATGCAAACATAACAAATCAAAGAATATGGTCCTGAAAGTGAATCTAAATTTTTCTTTTCTTTTGTGCATGCTAAAAATGTTCCAAGAAACATTAAAAAAAACATTTGCCAGGGCTTTCATATTGAGTTAAATCCTACGGTATGCTTATATATGTGGCAGGAACAAAAAAACTGATATAAATCGATAGAAAAATTCCTTGTTGGCGCCCTCTGCGTGAGAGAAATTGTAATGCTAGTTGATGGATCTGAGGAATGATGGATAGCAGGCAACATGAGGCAGCATCTTGCTAGCTTCCCTACCATCACTTCGGTCAGTTGTCGAGACTCGAGAGTAAATAGATTGTCATGTTCATGCATGCAAAAGAGCATCCAGAAGATTCAGAACAGGATGATCCAAAACAAAATTAATTAATCCAGGAGAGTGACAAATGATATGGATAATGTTGGTTCAAAATGAATTTCAATATTTGGAATACATGTTTCCTTTTGAACGAGTTAGTATAGTAGAGATTATTGTTAGGGTGCAGCTTTGCCTTGTTTTTTTTTTTTTGTTATCGTTTGTGGGTGAGTTCTTCCTAACCAAAAATAGGTTGCAATTCTATGAAAAACTATAGTTTTTTTTAGCTAACAGCTATAGTTGATTAACCTACAATAAGGAGAATCCGAGAGCTGGTAATTTCCTTATTTTCATCTTGTACATACAAATGCACCTATACTTCAGTGCATGAGCGCCTGGATTAATAAAGACCAATGAAGTGGACATCTTACATGCACAAAACTTTATCCAATGACTGAAGCAGAGTATGTAAAAGCCATAATCATGCAAGGTAAGCACAACACAAACAACACATGGCCAAGCTATATACAACAAGGATAAGTCTGAAAAAGCCAGTGGAGATAAGAGTGGACAACTATGAAGCACGGACTAAGAGCACAGGACACAGATTCGACACGACATGAACAAGAACACATGGCAATTTAAAAAAAAGCAGGACACGGACATGCTTGAGACACNTATACAACAAGGATAAGTCTGAAAAAGCCAGTGGAGATAAGAGTGGACAACTATGAAGCACGGACTAAGAACACAGGACACAGATTCGACACGACATGAACAAGAACACGTGGCACTTTAAAAAAAAGCAGGACACGGACATGCTTGAGACACGTCACTGATAATTTTGTTTTATATATAAAATTATATTATTTATTGCAGATATATTGATAATGATATATTGTTCATGAAAATTTCAGTACTTTATGATAGTGAATGTTAAGTTGAGTCATTTATTTTGAATTTTTAGACATTAATAGTCAATAATCATCAATTTTTTTGTATACCCAACATATATAATTTAAATTATTACTCTCATTTTCTCGATTTTTTTTTTTTTTTTGTAAAACTTATATACATATTTTTCTTTTATTTATATATTTTGAGTACAACTTTACCATGTTTAATCCTATTAATTATATGTTCTCTCATATTATAAGATAATTATCAATCAAATTTTTAAGTTTTATTTATCACATATCAACACATGTTTATTGTTTATTAGTAGAAGTGATCGACACATTACAAAAGAAGTGATGGACACGTCACAACATAAGTGTTGGACACTTATCCAAAATTAAAATTGTATAATTTAATTATGAACACGGATAAAAGAGTATCAAATATATGTCCAACAAGTGTCGGTGTCCGACAAGTGTCTGACACAGATACGTCATCTTCTTGAGAGTGTTTGTACTTCATAAAACACGAATACGGATACGAATAAGGGATATGCGTACGATACGACATTAATACAGCAATATGATTTAATCTAAAGAAGTAGAATACGAATACAATCAGGATGCGTCTATAAGAAAATATATTTAGTATTTTTACTATTATCTAGCGACTTAATAACTATATATTTTGGTAATTCTTTAACATAATAAGAAAAATTAGCAAATTTTTTGTTTAGTTTCAAAAAAGTATATATCATATCATCATGTATATTCACAAAGTGAAATACCTAATTAAATGAATCAAAACTAAGAATTACTTGGTTTATTTAGAAGTATATATTGTTAGAATTATAACGTAATAGATTTGTTTTATACTATTTTGACATGTAATAGTAAATAATACTGAAAAAATACTCACGTGTCTCTAAAATAATATGAATTTTTGTTGATGTGTTATTGTATGACATGTGAATTCGAAAGGAGATGTTAAATATTAAATTCAAAAATTATATATGTTACTCGAATACAAAAGTATTCACGAAGTATCCAAATATTGTATTACAATTGGGTATGTAGAAAGTAAATCTGATACGTATCCTCGAGTATCCGATGAATATTGTATACGTTACGAATACACTAACCTCAATAATTTGTGTTTCATAGGTGGACAATAATCTGATACAATTGGAAGTTTTTTAAATCACCAGACAAAGAAGCCTATTTAACCAGCAAGTCACAAACAGTTTACTTGGTTTGACGGCTTGTAAGTTTGAAATGCTTAAAAAAAATTATCATGTCCTTCCCCACACCCCTAGTCCCTCAAAAAAAACGTGCATGCGTGTGCATCCCCCAGAACAAGCAAACTGGTGCAGCAGCAGCAGCACAAAAGGAATTAAAGGCTAATTATGTATCAACCCACAAATTGCCTAAAACGAATTCCCCCCCTAATTGGTCTTTACTGCATACTGCAATTTGTTTCCCCTATTTTCAGCTGGTCTGCCTAAACACAAGTTCGAATTGGAATCAACAACGTGCAATAATTGCCTTATAAGATAATCACAAAGATACATTAAAGTTCAAGTATTAAACACATCTATAAAGACCCCAAAGATCCAATAAAAAAACACAATCACATCAAACCGTAGCATCCCAAACTCCAAAATTACTTCATTTACAAATCAGGATTAAATTCAAAAACAAATCAAATTCATTCGAGAAAGACAATTTCAATATACCTATTAACAACTAACTTGGGTGACAGAGATTTCAATTGGAAGTCAAAAAGAGTCTAAATAAGTACCTGCCCTAACTCCAGACGCCCCGGCTTTCTTTAAACCCTTTTTCTTAACAATGAAGCTAGCACCAATGAAGACGCTTGAAGACAACGCCAAAACCAAACCCTTGATGTTGTCAGAGGACATTCCCTTGTAAGAATCTCTCCAACTGTGAGTCACCTCCGACGCCATCACTGATAAAACAAAAACCCTAGTCTCACAATTTCATTTCTCTATGAACCACCGTAACAGTAACACCACTACTCGATTTCAAGCAAGAAAATTGATCTTGTATATAGATACAAACATCTATATCAATGTGTTTGTGTATTTACAGAGTGTTTTCCATGCCTTAGATAAGGTTTTGAGGATCCGTCATCGCTTCAAGCAAGAGAGAGAGAGAGAGAGAGAGAGGCAGGAACAGCTGGACTGTTCTTGCATGGATCGGAGGAGAGAGACAGAGAAGCACTAACAGTAGATTTGTACTTGGTAGTCTTGCCAAAAGAAGACTCGGTTTGATGAACGGTAAGCTCCAACTCCACTACAATTATTTTCTTTATTATTACCATAAATGGTACATTTATTTACCTGTCGAAAAATAATTTTTTATATCGAATATTTATTTTTTATATTCAATAAGAATATGTGTTTTTTTTTTTAAATGTTTTATTATTCTTTCAATCAATAGTTACAATTTATTCGAACTAAAATCAACAGTTGAAAATCAGGCAAGTTACTTCTATTTTCTTTATCTTACTAATAATAAGAAAGAGATACGGAAGAGCGAACTTAAAATTTATATATAAGAAAGCATGAGAGCTCCTAAAAAAAGTATCCAAATCAAATGTGAACCATTTTTCATGTCTTACATTTTGTTTTAGTCTTTTCTTTGATTTTAAATAAAAAAATTAGCGGTAAAGATGATTGGGGGTGTGAGATACACGAACGGATGAGCTCCTACGATGAGAATACATTCGATCGATGAGTCCAACATCCTTTCCAAATGTGAAAATTTTTGATTGGAATGAGCAACACATTTGCTAAA